TAAGTTAGTCCTAAATATTTCAAAAACTAAAAGCATTGTATTTGGGACAAATCATTCCCTAAACCATAAACCTCAACTAAATCTTGTAATAAATCATGTGGAAATTGAGCAAGTTCAGGTGACTAAACTGCTTGGAGTAACACCGGATTGTAAACTGTCATGGTCAAAACATGTTGATACAACAGTAGCTAAGATGGGGACAAGTCTGTCTGTAATGAAGCGCTGCTCTGCCTTTTTAACAACACTATCAACAAGGCAGGTCCTACAGGCCCTAGTATTGTTGCACCTGGACTAGTGTTCAGTCGTGTGGTCAGGTGCCATAAAGAGGGACCTCGGAAAATTACAATTGGCTCAGAACAGGGCAGCACGGCCGGCCCTTAAATGCACATGGAGAGCTTACATTAATAATATGCATGTAAATCTCTCATGGCTCAAAGTGGAGGAGAGATTAACTTCATCATTACTTGTTTTTGTAAGAAGTGTTGACATGCTGAATTCACCGAGGTGTCTGTTTAAACTACTAGCACACAGCTCGGACACCCATGCATACCCCACAAGACATGCCACCAGAGGTCTCTTCACAATCCCCAAGTCCAGAACAGACTATGAGAGGCACACAGTACTACATAGAGCCATGGCTACATGGAACTATATTCCACATCAAGGTAACTAATGCAAGCAGTAGAATCGGATTTAAAAAACAGATACAAATACACCTTATGGGACAGCGGGGACTGTGAAGAGACACACACACAGGCACAGACACACATACACATGATAAGACACGCACTCTACACACACGTGCACATGGATGTTGTATTGTAAATATGTGGTGGTGGAGTGGTGGCCTGAGGGAACACACTGAATGTGTTTGGTAAGGTGTTATGAAATGTAATGTCATGTAGTATTTTAAACGGTATGTAAATGTCTTATGTTGCTGGACCCTAGGAAGAGTAGCTGCTTGTAATAGTTGATATTGAGTTTAAATTGTGTCCGTTTTGGTTTGAGCTGTATTGGAGGAAGAGAAGAAGACTTTAAAAAGAAAGAAAGATTGGTGAAAGTTTAAATGCCCAGAGTTGAAGAGTTAGGGTGAGAGGGAGGTCAGGTGTCTTCAGTGCTATTGACCAGATGTAGGAAGTGTGATGCAAGACAACAGGAAATGCCTCTAAGTCCAGTCCTCCTGAGGGTTGGATGTGCGGTGTGGCAGTGCAGTGCTGAACTTGGCCGAAGGTCAGCTGCTAAGCTTCTCTTTTTTGGAGCAGGACATATGCTAAGGACCTCAGGGACCCAGGTTACCATAGGAACAGAGACAAAAACTACAGAAGCTATCGGAGCAATCAGAGGAGGTAATATGTGTTGCATGACCAAGCCACGGATCACCAAAGGGTGGATTTATGTACATTTGCCACATCTCTGATGAAAATATTGTCATGTTTTAGACAAAGTAGTTCAATAAATGGAAGAAGTTAGCACTTGAATACAATTTAGAGACATAACCCATGCCCTGCTAATCAATTTGTGGCAGCAAATTGCAAATTTCTCTAACGAAGTAATTTAGTCAGGCAAATATAGTGAAAACTCCCACTAACCCATGCGTCCACCAATCCAACGCTTTTAGATTTAAGGGAAGTAGTGAACGACTGCTCACTTCAGGAGAAAGGAGATCATTTTGGCACCCCACCGTCAGAGAGGGGTAACAGTGGTGGGGTGGAGGAGGCGGGGTCTGCATGACAGATCACCATGAGAAGACGGGCACTCCCTCCATTACCTTTAGGGTCAAAGGTCACCGTGGTGTGGAAATGAGTCCCATCCCTCACCGGGAGGGAGGACTACATTCGTTTAACCTGACATGGTGGTCTTTCACTACTCCAGGATGAAGTTTCCCCTAGGTGCAGAACTAAGGTCAGATTGCCCTCCCCCCTAATCCTAACCTTATCCATTAGTGGGGAAAATGCTAAACTGACCCAAGATCAGTGTCTAGGGGCAACTTCACCCTGCACCGGGAAGGAAGGGGGAGGGGGGGGGTTATAATAGTTGATAATGAGTTTAAATTGTGTCCGTTTTGGTTTGGGCTGTATAGGAGGAAGAGAAGAAGACTTTAAAAAAGAAATAAAGATTGGTGAAAGTTTAAATGCCAGAGTTGAAGAGTTAGGGTGAGAGGGAGGTCAGGTGTCTTCAGTGCTATTGACCAGATGTAGGAAGTGTGATGCAAGACAACAGGAAATGCCTCTAAGTCCAGTCCTCCTGAGGGTTGGATGTGCGGTGTGGCAGTGCAGTGCTGAACTTGGCCGAAGGTCAGCTGCTAAGCTTCTCTTTTTTGGAGCAGGACATATGCTAAGGACCTCAGGGACCCAGGTTACCATAGGAACAGAGACAAAAACTACAGAAGCTATCGGAGCAATCAGAGGAGGTAATATGTGTTGCATGACCAAGCCACGGATCACCAAAGGGTGGATTTATGTACATTTGCCACATCTCTGATGAAAATATTGTCATGTTTTAGACAAAGTAGTTCAATAAATGGAAGAAGTTAGCACTTGAATACAATTTAGAGACATAACCCATGCCCTGCTAATCAATTTGTGGCAGCAAATTGCAAATTTCTCTAACGAAGTAATTTAGTCAGGCAAATATAGTGAAAACTCCCACTAACCCATGCGTCCACCAATCCAACGCTTTTAGATTTAAGGGAAGTAGTGAACGACCTGCTCACTTCAGGAGAAAGGAGATCATTTTGGCACCCCACCGTCAGAGAGGGGTAACAGTGGTGGGGTGGAGGAGGCGGGGTCTGCATGACAGATCACCATGAGAAGACGGGCACTCCCTCCATTACCTTTAGGGTCAAAGGTCACCGTGGTGTGGAAATGAGTCCCATCCCTCACCGGGAGGGAGGACTACATTCGTTTAACCTGACATGGTGGTCTTTCACTACTCCAGGATGAAGTTTCCCCTAGGTGCAGAACTAAGGTCAGATTGCCCTCCCCCCTAATCCTAACCTTATCCATTAGTGGGGAAAATGCTAAACTGACCCAAGATCAGTGTCTAGGGGCAACTTCACCCTGCACCGGGAAGGAAGGGGGAGGGGGGGGGGGTTATAATAGTTGATAATGAGTTTAAATTGTGTCCGTTTTGGTTTGGGCTGTATAGGAGGAAGAGAAGAAGACTTTAAAAAAGAAATAAAGATTGGTGAAAGTTTAAATGCCAGAGTTGAAGAGTTAGGGTGAGAGGGAGGTCAGGTGTCTTCAGTGCTATTGACCAGATGTAGGAAGTGTGATGCAAGACAACAGGAAATGCCTCTAAGTCCAGTCCTCCTGAGGGTTGGATGTGCGGTGTGGCAGTGCAGTGCTGAACTTGGCCGAAGGTCAGCTGCTAAGCTTCTCTTTTTTGGAGCAGGACATATGCTAAGGACCTCAGGGACCCAGGTTACCATAGGAACAGAGACAAAAACTACAGAAGCTATCGGAGCAATCAGAGGAGGTAATATGTGTTGCATGACCAAGCCACGGATCACCAAAGGGTGGATTTTTGTTTATTTGATGAAAATATTGTCATGTTCTATACAAAGTAGTTCAAGAAATGAAAGAAGTTAGCACCTGAATGTCTCTCGAATACCGTTAGACATAACCCATGCTTTACTAAGCAATTCACGGTAACAAATCACAAATCTCTCAAATAAAATAATTGAGTCAGGGAAAGCCAAAAGTAAAGGCCTGTCTCCTTCTCCACCTCTCTTTAGAACAGAGAGAGAGAGGAGGGAGAGAAATAGAGAGAGAGAGGAGGGAGAAATAGAGAGAGAGAGGAGGGAGAGAAATAGAGAGAGAGAGGAGGGAGAGAAATAAAGAGAGAGAGGAGGGAGAAATAGAGAGGGGGGAGAGAAATAGAGAGGGGGGAGAAATAGGGAGAGGGGGAGAGAAATAAAGAGAGAGAGGAGGGGAGAAATAGAGGGGGGTGAGAAATAGAGAGGTGGAGAGAAATAGAGAGGGGGAGGAATAGAGAGGGGGGAGAATAGAGAGGGGAGAAATAGAGAGAGGGGGAGAGAAATAGAGAGAAGGGGGGAGAAATAGAGAGAAGGGGGGGAGAAATTACGAGCGGAGAGGAGGGAAGAAGAAAAGAAATAGAGAGGGGGGAGAGAAAAAGAGAGAGGGGGAGAGAAATATAGAGGGGGAGGAATAGAGGGGGGGAGAAATAGAGAGGGGGAAGAAATAGCAGAGAAGGGGGGAGAGAAATAGAGAGAAGGGGGGAGAAATAGAGCGAGAGGAGGGAGAAATAGAGAGGGGGGAGAGAAAAAGAGAGAGGGGGAGAGAAATATAGAGGGGGAGGCATAGAGGGGGGAAGAAATAGAGAGAAGGGGGGGAGAAATAGAGAGGGGGGAGAAATAGAGAGAGGGGGGAGAGAAATAGAGAGAAGGGGGGAGAAGAAATAGAGAGGGGGAGAAGAAATAGAGAGGGGGGGAGAAATAGAGAGGGGGAGAGAAATAGAGAGAGGAGGAGGTAGCTTAGTGGTTAAGAGCGTTGTGCCAGTAACTGAAAGGTCGCTGGTTCTAATCCCCGAGCCGACTAGGTGAAACATCTGTCGATGTGCCCTTGAGCAAGGCACTTAACCCTAATTGCTCATGTAAGTCGCTCTGGATAAGAGCATCTGCTAAATGACTTAAATGTAAAATGAGGAGAGAAATAGGGGAGGAGAGAAATAGGGGAGGAGAGAAATAGGAGGGGGGGAGAAATAGAGAGAATGGGGGGGGAAATAGAGGGGGGGAGAGAAATAGAGGGAGGGGGGAGAGAAATAGAGGGAGGGGGGGGAGAGAAATAGAGGTGGGAGAGAAATAGAGGGAGGGAGGGAGGGGGGAGAGAAATAGGGGGGGAGAAATAGAGGTGGGAGAGAAATAGAGGGGAAATAGAGAGGGGGAGAAATAAAGAGGGGGGGAGAGGTGAAATAGAGAGGGGGGGAGAGAAATAGAGAGGGGGGAGAAATAGAGAGGGGGGAGAAATAGAGAGAGGGTGATGGGTGACCGAGGGTGAAGACAGAAGGACACGAGGAGTAAGAGGGAGAATGTGGGGAAAGAAGGCGACGAAACAAATCAGGTTGCGGGCGTGTCCGCCTAGAGTTATCTGACATTTCGCAGCACTGAATACACAATAAAACACCCTGTTCTGGCATCGATTGATGCCCCCGTCCCGCTTCTTTCACCATTCACTGCCACAGCTCTGTATTTTATTGTACATAACCTCAATATGGTTGCTCCTCAGGGGCGGCAGGGGAGGCACACATTTATTTATTTGTGATTCCCCCCCCCCCACCCAACCCCAAGGCTGTATGTGTGTGTGCTCTTAACTGAATCGGTTGTCGTTAGACACACAACCCCCTGTAGCAGCGGGAGGTTCACTTCTCTCTTTCTCTCTCAATTCAATTCAGTAGACTTTATTGACATGGCAAGTTAAATTACTTACTTTGTCAAAGTATACATACAGTGCATTCGGAAAGTATTCAGACCCCTAAGACTTTTCCCACATTATGTTATGTTACAGCCTTATTCTAAAATGGAATAAATAGTTTTTTTTCGCTCATCAATCTAGACACAATACCCCATAATGACAACGCAAAAAAAGGTTTTTAGACATTTTTGCAAATGTATTACAAATAAAAAGCTGCAATATACTATTTACATAAGTATTCAGACCCTTTACTCAGTACTTTGTTGAAGCATCTTTGTCAGCGATTACAGCCTTGAGTCTTCTTGGGTATGTCCGCCCAGAGCTTGGCACACCTGTATTTGGGGAGTTTCTCCCATTCTTCTCTGCAGATCCTCTCAAGCTCTGTCAGGTTGGAGACTATTTTCAAGTCTCTTAGAGATGTTTGATCGAGTTCAAGTCCGGGCTCTGGCTGGGCCACTCAAAACATTCAGAGACTTGTCCCGAAGGCACTCCTGCGTTGTCTTGGCTGTGTGCTTAGGGTTGTTGTCCTGTTGGAAGGTGAACCTTCGCCCCAGTCTGAGGTCCTGAGTGCTCTGGAGTAGGTTTTCATCAAGGATCTCTCTGTACTTTGCTCTTTTCATCTTTCCATCGATCCTGACTAGTCTCCCAGTCCCTGCTGCTGAAAAACATCCCAACAGCATGATGCTGCCACCACCATGCTTCACCGTAGCGATGGTGCCAGGTTTCCTCCAGAAGTGACACTTGGCATTCAGGCCAAAGAGTTCAATCTTGGTTTTATCAGACCAGAGAATCTTGTTTCTCATGGTCTAAGGTGCCTTTTGGCAAACTCCAAGCGGGCTGTTATGTGCCTTTTACTTAGGAGTGGCTTCCGTCTGACCACTCTACCATAAAGGCCTGATTGGTGGAGTGCTGCAGAGATGGTTGTCTTTCTGAAAGGTTCTCCCATCTCCACAGAGGAACTCTGGAGCTCTGTCCGAGTGACCATCGGGTTCTTGGTCACCTCCGTGACCAAGGCCCTTCTCCCCCGATTGCTCAGTTTGGCCGGGTGGCCAGCTCTAGGAAGAGTCTTGGTGGTTACAAACTTCTTCCATTTAAGAATGATGGAGGCCACTGTGTTCATGGGGACCTTCAATGCTGCAGAAATGTTTTGGTACCCTTCCCCAGATCTGTGCCTCGACACAATCCTGTCTCGGAGCTCTACGGACAGTTCCTTCAACCTCATGGCTTGGTTTTTGCTCTGACATGCACTGTCAACTTTGGGACCTTATATAGACAGGTGTGTGTCTTTCCAAATCATATCCAATCAATTGAATTTACCACAGGTGGACTCCAATCAAATTGTTGAAACATGTCAAGGATGATCAATGGAAACAGGATGCACTTGAGCTCAATTTCGAGTCTCATAGCAACGGGTCTGAATACTTACGTAAATAAGATTTTTCTGTTAATTTATTTTAATAAATTAGCAAACATTTCTAAATACCAGTTTTCGCTTTGTCATTATGGGGTATTGTATGTAGATTGATTAGTAAAACATTTATTTAAACCATTTTAGAATAAGGCTGTAACGTATCAAAATGTAGAAAAAGTCAAGGGGTCTGAATACTTTCCGAATGCACTGTATAACAACAATGGTTGGACCAACGGCAATAAGGCATCAACAATAATAATAATAGTAGTAGTGGAAATGTGATTACCATTAACAGCAACTACAACAACAATATTAATGAGAATAACAATACATTAAAGCAATAGTAGTAGACCAGTCTCAACATGACTGAGAATACACATGACATGGTATGAAAGCCAAAACAAAACCAAATGGGAAATATTATTGACATTACATTGCTCTCTCTCTCTCTCTTCTCTCTCTCTCTCTCTCTCTCTCTCTCTCTCTCTCTCTCTCTCGTTCTCTCTCTCGTTCTCTCTCTCTCTCTCTTCCTCTCTCTCTCTCTCTCTCTCTCTCTCTCTCTCTCTCTCTCTCTCTCTCTCTCTCTCTCTCTCTCTCTCTCTCTCTCTCTCTCTCTCTCTCTCTCTCTCTATGTCGTTTCTCTTTTTCCCACTGTGTTAGACTGTCAGTTTACCATACAGTGGCTTGCGAAAGTATTCTCCCCACTTGGCATTTTTCCTATTTTGTTGCCTTACAACCTGGAATGAAAATTGATTTTTTTGGGGGGGTTGATTCATTTGATTTACACAACATGCCTACCACTTTGAAGATGCAAAACATTTTTGTGTGTGAAACAAACAAGAAATAAGACAGAAAAACGGAAAACTTGAGCGTGCATAACTATTCACCCCCCCATGGTCAATATTTGTAGAGCCACCTTTTGCAGCAATTACAGCTGCAAGTCTCTCCCGAGTGGCGCAGTGGTCTAAGGCACTGCATTGCAGTGCTAACTGTGCAACTAGAGATCCTGGTTCGCGTCCAGGCTCTGTCGCAGCCGGCCGCTACCGGGAGACCCATGGGCGGCGCACAATGTCGTCCAAGGTAGGGGAGGGTTTGGCTGGCAGGGATGTGGGTTCGTTTCCCATGGGGGACCAGTATGAAAAAAAAAAAAAAAAAATACATGTATGCATTCACTACCTGTAAGTTGCTCTGGATAAGAGCGTCTGCTAAATAAAATGACTAAAATGTAAATGTATGTCTCTATAAGCTTGGCACATCTAGCCACTGGGATTTTTGCCCATTCTTCAAAGCAAAACTGCTCCATCTCCTTCAAGTTGGATGGGTTCCGCTGGTGTACAGCAATCTTTAAGTCATACCACAGATTCTCAATTGGATTGAGGTCTGGGCTTTGACTAGGCCATTCTAAGACATTTAAATGTTTCTCCTTAAACCACTCAAGTGTTGCTTTAGCAGTATGCTTAGGGTCATTGTCCTGCTGGAAGGTGAACCTCCGTCCCAGTCTCAAATCTCTGGAAGACTGAAACAGGTTTCCCTCAAGAATTTTCCTGTATTTAGCGGCATCCATCATTCCTTCAATTCTGACCAGTTTCTCAGTCCCTGCCGATGAAAAACATCCCCACAGTGATGTTAGTCTCATCTGACCAGAGTACATTCTTCCATATGTTAGGGGAGTCTCCCACATGGCTTTTGGCCAACACCAAACGTGTTTGCTTAATTTTGTCTTTAAGCAATGGCTTTTTTTCTGGCCAAGCTTCCGTAATGCCCAGCTCTGTGGAGTGTATGGCTTAAAGTGGTCCTATGGACAGATACTCCAATATCTGATGTGGAGATTTGCAGCTCCTTCAGGGTTATCTTTGGTCTCTTTGTTGCCTCTCTGATTAATGCCCTCCTTGCCTGGTCCGTGAGTTTTGGTTGGCGGCCCTCTCTTGGCAGGTTTCTTGTGGTGCCATATTCTTTCAATTTTTTTTATAATGGATTTATTGGTGCTCTGTGGGATGTTCAAAGTTTCAGATATTTTTTTATAACCCAACCCTGATCTGTGCTTCTCCACAACTTTGTCCCTGACCTGTTTGGAGAGCTCCTTGGTCTTCATGGTGCCGCTTGCTTGCTTTTTACCCCATATGTAACTCTGTGTTGTTGTTTTTATCGCACTGCTTCGCTTTATCTTGGCCAGGTCACAGTTGTAAATGAGAACTTGTTCTCAACTGGCTTAACTGGTTAAATAAAGGTGAAATAAAAATAAAAAAATAAAGTGGTGCCCCTTGCTTAGTGGTGTTGCAGACTCTGGGGCCTTTCAGAACAGGTGTATATATACTGAGATCATGTGACAGATCATGTGACACTTAGATTGCTTTATTTAACTAATCATGTGACTTCTGAAGGTAATTGGTTGCACCAGATCTTATTTAGGGGCTTCATAGCAAAGGGGGTGAATACATATGCACGCACCACTTTTCCGTAATTTATTTTTTTGAAATAAGTTATTTTTTTCATTTCACTTCACCAATTTGGACTATTTTGTGTATGTCCATTACATTAAATCCAAATAAAAATCCCATTTAAATTACAGGTTGTAATACAACAAAATAGGAAAAATGCCAAGGGGGATGAATACTTTTGAAAGGCACTGTACCTTCTCCAATCAGGTGGCAGCCGCCCGCTGGGCCCCGTGAAGCCTGTCCCTCATGGCCATTCCTTGTCTCTGTTTCCATTTTCCGAGAAAATGCTGATGGAGTATCAGGAATCTCTGAGGGGATTAGAATGTGTTTAAAGTCACGTTAGGAAAGCCAGCGGCGTTCCGAATCCTCATTATATTTTCACACTCTCTCTCTCATGCCAACCGCCTTTGTCAGGATCAGATACAATTCTGAGATATCTTGAGTAATATAAATAAATCAAATCCAGCATCCTGTTTTCAAGGCAGTCGCTCGCACACGCACACACACACACACACACACACACACACACACACACACACACACACACACACACACACACACACACACACACACACAAACAATCAACGAATGCACACACACACACACACACACACACACACACACACACACACAGAGGAAGAAGGAGTGCTGGTGTTCCTTTCTATTTAGTCCCATCTGTATGTGGTGTTTGTAACCCATACATATACAGACTGTATCACAATTTTGTTAATCATATGATTTTATGAATGCAAAGCTTCATTGATTCTAGGGCTCAGTTTTCTTTCACTGGAATGTCATGTAAATGTATGAAAGTGGTTTGAATAATGTACAAGAGCGATATGTTACGTGTCAGTCTAATGAATTAATATGGGAAATTGTGGTGTTTAGTATTTTAGTATTTTTATTGGGATCCCCAATTAGGTTGCCAAGGCAGCGGCTCCTCTTCCTGGGGTCCAAACAGGAAACAATACAACAAATACAATACATAACGTGTCATTTAGTCTCGGATATCCGGAGCAACGTAAGCCAGGCAACGGCACAAGTAATGACTTCTCTCAGACATTTTGAAAGGGGGAAAAAAAATTGTTCCGGGGAGGGTCCTCTTCAGACAGACAACTCTCCCAACAAATCACAAGTTTGGGTAGGCGGGGCTTAAAATGCGGATTGGAATTGTGCTCAGGATTAGCCAGGGATATGGCAGAGACTTTACTGACGCTCTTCCCATTTTCACCGCAACTTGTGCAGATGTGTTAAGCTGGAGCATTCGTACATTGCCGGAAGTAAACCGTCTGTCTAGAGAGACAAAATGTTGCGCACTTTATGTTTGTTTGTGTCTGTTTGTATGGATACACTGTGTACCTTCTCTGTACATAATATGTACAAACAAGTGTGTGAATTTAAGTGTGAGTGTTCAAGTAGTAGCCTGTGTGTTCCAGAGCTCTGTGTGTGTTCCAGAGCTCTGTGTGTGTTCCAGAGCTCTGTGTGTGTTCCAGAGCTCTGTGTGTGTTCCAGAGCTCTGTGTGTGTTCCAGAGCTCTGTGTGTGTTCCAGAGCTCTGTGTGTGTTCCAGAGCTCTGTGTGTGTTCCAGAGCTCTGTGTGTGTGTGCTGGTTGTGTGTGTGTCAAATCAAATGAAATTGTATTTGTCAAATGCTTCATAAACAACAGGTGTGGACTAATAGTGAAATCCTTATTTATGGGCCCTTCCCAACAATGCAGAGAGAAATAAAATAGAGAAATAATGGAAAAGTAAAACACAGAATAATAAAAGTAATAATAAATACACAATGAGTAATGATAACTTGGCTATATACACGGGGTACCGGTACCGAGTCGATGTGCAGGGGTACGAGGTACATATAACTAGGAATAAAGTGACAGATAGTAAACATTAACAGCAGCGTATGTGATCAATCAAAATAAAAAAGAGTCAATGCAGATAGTCTGGGTATCTATTTGGTCAACTATTTAACTATTTAGCAGTCTTATGGCTTGGGGGTAGAAGCAGTTCAAGGTCCTGTGGGGTCCAGAGTTGGTGCATCTGTACCGCTTGCCGTGCGGTAACAGAGAGAACCGTTTGTAACTTGAATGGCTTGAGTCTGACAATTTTTAGGGCCTTCCTCTGACACCGCCTGGTATAGAGGTCCTGGATGGCAGGGAGCTCGGCCGTGATGTACTGGGCCGTACGCACTACTTCTGTAGCGCCTTGCGGTCGGATGCCAAGCAGTTGCCATACCAAGCGGTGATGCAGCCTGTCAAGATGCTCTCAATGGTGCAGCTGTAGAACATGTTAAGGATCTGAGGGCCCATGACAAATCTTTTCAGCCTCCTGAGGGGGAAGAGACGTTGTCGTGCCCTCTTCACAACTTTGTTGGTGTGTTTGGACCATGATAGATCCTTAGTGATGTGGACACAGAGAAACATGAAGCTCTCGACCCGCTCCACTACAGCCCTGTTGATGTGAATGGGGATGTGCTCGGACCTCCATTTCCTGTAGTCCACGATCAGCTCCTTTGTCTTGCTGACGTTGAGGGAGAGGTTGTTGTCCTGGCACCACGCTGCCAGGTGTTGTGCGCGGCCACGCAATCGTGGGTGAACAGGGAGTACAGGAGGGGACTAAGCACGCACCCCCGAAGGTCCCCCGGGTTGAGGGTCAGTGTGGCGGATGTGTTGTTGCCTACCCTCACCACCTGGGGGTGTCCCGTCAGGAAGTCCAGAATCCAGTTGCAGACGGAGGTGTTCAGTCCCAGGGTCCTTAGCTTAGTGATGAGCTTGGAGGGCACTATGGTGTTGAACGCTGAGCTGTAGTCAATGAACAGCATTCTCACGTAGGTGTTCCTTTTGTCCAAGTGGGAAACAGTGTGGAGTGCAATAGAGAATGCGTCATCTGTGGATCTGTTTGGTCGGTATGCGAATTGGAGTGGGTCCAGTGTGTCTGGGATGATGGTGTTGATGTGAGCCATGACCAGTCTTTCAAAGCATTTAATGGCTACAGATGTGAGTGCTACGGGGCAATAGTTATTCAGACAGGTTACCTTGGCGTTCTTGGGCACAGGGACTATGGTGGTCTGCTTGAAACATGTAGGTGTTACAGACTGGGTCAGGAAGCGGTTGAAAATATCAGTGAAGACAATTGCCAGCTGGTCAGCGCATGCTCCGAGTATGCTTCCTGGTAATCCGTAGGCCCTGCGGCCTTGTAAATGTTTACCTGTTTAAAGGTTTTACTCACATCGGCTACAGAGAGCGTGATCACATAGTCAACCGGAACAGCTGGTGCCTTCACGCATGGTTCAGTATTACTTGCCTCGAAGCGAGCATAGAAGGCATTTAGCTCATCCGGTAAGCTCTCGTCACTGGGCAGCTCGTGGCTGGGTTTCTCTTTGTAATCCGTAATAGTTTGCAAGCCCTGCCACATCCGACGACTGTCAGAACCGGTGTAGTAGGATTCAGTCTTAGTCCTGTATTGACGCTTTGCATGTTTGATGGTTCGTCGGAGGGCGTAGTGGGATTTTTTAGAACCGTCCGGGTTAGTGTCCCACTCCTTGGAAGCGGCAGTTCTAGCCTTTAGCTCAGTGTGGATGTTGCCTGTAATTCATGGCTTCTGGTTGGGATATGTACATACGGTCACTGTGGGGATGACGTCGTTGATACACTTGATAAAGCCGGTGACTGATGTGGTAAACTCATCGATGTTATCGGATGAATCCCGGAACATATTCCAGTCTGTGATAGTGAAACAGTCCTGTAGCTTAGCATCCACTTCATCGGACCACTTCCGTATTGAGCGCGTCACTGGTACTTCCTGTTTGAGTTTTTGCTTGTAAGCAGGAATCAGTAGTATAGAGTTATTGTCAGATTTGCCAAAATGAAGGGCGAGGGAGAGCTTTGTATGTGTCTCTGTGTGTGTAGTAAAGGTGATCTACAGTTTTTTTCACCTCCTACTTCCACAGTGTGTATGTGTGTGTGTGTGTGTGCGTGTGTGTGCGTGTGTGTGCGTGTGTGTGTGTGTGTGTGTGTGTTTCAGAGCAGTAATGACTGGAGCTCAATGCGGTGGAATAGGACTTGTATGTGCCGAGGGGGGTTGACATGGTTAACCCCCCTTCTCCTCCTCCCCCAAACCTCCCTCCCTCCTCAACCCCAACCCCCCCAAATGCCCCCTGTCCCATACCAGATGGACGCCTTGCCTTGTGAATCACTGCTGACGAGAGGGGAGTTTTTTTTCAGTCTTCACAGAAGCACATCTGCTGCTTCCCCAGCAGGGTCCCCTTCCACCTGCTCCAACACACACACACACACACACACACACACTCACACACACACACACACACACACACACACACACACGTTCAAGCACAAACACACCGCGAAAACACACATGCGCACACACACTCAAGCACGTGCACACTTGCACACGCATACATGCGGGAGATGTGGAAGGGGGGGGGCGGGGGTCACAAAAGGAAGGATAAGTGGCCCCAACCTGTCCTGTCATGAAGTGTGGTGATATTGTGTGATTATTAACATTGCAATGATGTTTTCCTCTCTCTGTGTGTTGCAGTGTCAGAGTGTCGAGGTGGTGGAGACACCCAGCCCAGGTTCTCCTCCTCTCTGCCCACCTACTTTCCTGTCTCCTGCCAGCTGCAGGGCGCCGACTCCTCCTTTTTCCTCCGGGAGGCAGGACAGGAAGTGATGCGTAATGGCAGCCTGCGGACGCGCACTGAGCCCTTCTTCCTCCACCAACCAGAAGCGGGCGCCGCCCCCCTGCCATCCGTCAACTGTAGCTACGGCAACCTGACGGCCGAGGCCCCCGTGCCGCTAGAGCTGCTCCAGGGGTCCCCGCGCCTCCTGGGCCCCTCCCCCACCCACATCACCCTCAACTGGAAGGTGCGTGCCCATGTGGTGAGCCGCAGGGTGGGCTCGGCACGCCCCCTCATCCAGGTGCTGTTCTACCTGGCTGGCCGCCGCTGGGACGAGGCAGCCCCACTTCCGGAGCAGCTGCCCTGTGTGAGGGTGATAGCGGTGCGGGAGCCCAGCGAAGCCTCCCCCTCGGCGGGCTGCAGGTTGGATGAGGTGGGGGGCGGCGTGGGGATCTGTGTGGCTCGCTTAGAGCTGCCTGCTGGCTGGTTCACCCCGTCACCAGGACGGAAGAGGCTCCCTGATACGGCCCTGAACGGAGTGGAGCTGTACTACTCTGTCCAGCCCCTAGAGGATGAGAGCGAGGAGTGCCCAGCCAGCAAGGAGCAGTGGAGAGGGCAGAGTGGAGCAGGGGGTGACATGCAGAGTGCTGGGCCTGTGGGGCTGGTGGTGGGGCTGGTGAGGCCCATGGGGGAGAGGCTGAGACTGGATGACAACGTCGAGATCCTGGTGCCTCCCAGTCCCATCAGACTGGGACAGATGGTGGGCTTCGGGATCAGCATGAGTTCTGCCTCTAGTCTGGAGCAGTTCACTCTCAGGTGGGTCACAATACACACACACACACACACACACACTCACTCACCCACTCACTCACTCACCCACTCACCTACTCACTCACTCACTCACTCACTCACACACACCCTTCTGTGGGATGCCTGGGAGCTTATCTGTACGATTGTATTGCTTTGGCCTTAGGAATATGCGGTTGACAAAATTACAAATTGTACAGTTTCATCATTCTATAGATACCTCCCAAACACATCACACGAGGCAACATTCTGCATTACTTTAACATCAAAACCTTTGCCTCATATGGGTTTTGATGTGTTCAAAGGTTTCTGAGCACAGTACGCACCAAAGGGAAATCAACTTTGACACCAGAAAAGTTATTTTGTGCCCAAAAATTTAAAGCCCCGTGGCGCAGCTTGGCTAAAAAGTTTTTTGTCAAAGTTACCCCCCTGGAAAGTTATTTCCTGTATAAAAAGTGAGCGCACGTTTTTTTCCGTGTTTATTTCGAGGAAAAGGAGGGGAGGGGGGAAAAGGGGGAAAAAAGCGTTTTTTCCGGCCGGCTTTTCTCTCCACTCTTTCCGCTCCTTTCGTCCCGGGGTCGGCGCGGGGGCCCCGGCGCGCCCCGGGGTCGCGCATTCGGCGCCCCCCCCGCTCCCCCCGGGGGCCCCAGAAAGAGAACGCCGGGGAACCGGGGGGGGCGCGGGGGGGGGCCCGGCCCCGCGGGGGCCCCCCGGGCGCGGAGCGCCGCCCGCGGGCCCCCCCCGGGCGCCCCCCCCCCTCGGGGGCGCCCCCGGGGCCCCCTCCCTTCCTCCGTACCTCCCCCCCCTTTCCGGGCCCCCCCCCCCCCGCCCCCCCCGGGGGCCCCCCACCCCCCCAACCTTTTTTCCTTTTTTCTCTTTTTTTCCTTCGCCCCACTTCCTCCAAAAAATACTTAATCCCTTTTGCGTTTCCCCCCTTTTCGCTAGTAGGGTAAGGGGTGGCTCCAGGGACACACACCACACCCCACACCAACAACCCACAAAAAACACACACACACACACACACACACCACACCCTGGGGTCAGTGAGCCCCCCCCCAAATAGTCTGCTCTACAGTAACGGGGGTAGAAACTCTATGCCCTTTTCCCCGCCCTCCCCCTCCTCCCCGAACCTTTCCTTTTTCCCCCCCCTCTTCTGCCTCGTTCTCCTCTTTAAACATTAATTTACACCCCCTGTTTAGGGTTTTTAAGCATTCATTTATACGCCCGTTTAGGCTGTCCTCCTCTAAGAAATTTTCACCCCCTGTCAGGCTGTCCTCTTTAAGCATTTTTTTACCCCCTGTCTGGCGTCCTCCTCTTAAGCATTAATTTTTCAAGCCTGTTCAGGCTGTCCTCCTCTAAAGCATTAATTACACCGCTGTCTCAGGCGTCCTCCTCTTAAGCATTAATTTACACCGCCTGTCTCAGGCTGTCTCCTTTAGATTTACATGTCTCAGGACGTCCTCCTCTCACTTTTCACTCCTGTCTCAGGCTGTCCTCCTCTTAAGCATTAATTTACACCGCCTGTCTCAGGCTGTCCTCCTCTTCATTTACACCACCTGTCTCAGGCTGTCCTCCTCTTCATTTACACCACCTGTCTCAGGCTGTCCTCCTCTTCATTTACACCACCTGTCTCAGGCTGTCCTCCTCTTCATTTACACCGCCTGTCTCAGGCTGTCCTCCTCTTAATTTACACCAACTGTCTCAGGCTGTCCTCCTCCTGTAATTTACAACCAACCCCTGTCTCAGGCTTTGTCCCTCTCTGATTTGACCACCACACTGTCTCAGGCTGTCCTCCTCTTCATTTACACCGCATGTCTCAGGGTAATCCGTTATCATCAGACTTTAGCAAAAGTCTAGAGAGCTTGCAGGTCAGCATTTCATTGTACTGTGTACACTGTGGATCCTGTGCATATGACAAATAAACTTTGATTTGAAATGATGTATCATTTAGGCCACAGTCAGTGTGTAGCTGAATTACAATTGTAAGGTTACATGGACAGGGAAGATCTGATTCTAGATCAGCAATTTATTCTGAGTGACCATGGTGACTTACACTGGGTTGACTGCACTGCTACAGAAAAGGAAAGTTTCTTTCTGGAAGTCACTGACTTCCCATAAGCTGTAGAGGACATGTGCTGTGGTGTGTGTGTGTGTGTCTGTTTGTGTGTGTGTCTGTTTGTGTGTGTGTCTGTTTGTGTGTGTGTGTGTGTGTGTGTGTGTGTGTATGTGTGTGTGTGTGTGTGTGTGTGGTGTGTGTGTGTGTGTGTGTGTGTGTGTGTGTGTGTGTGGTGGGGGGTGTGTCTGTGTGTGTGTGTGATTATCGTCTCAGACACAGTTCCAGACTCTTGTTATCCAGACACACTGCACCACACGTCCTCTACCCCCAACCATTTATTTCCCTCCCCCCCCCCCCCCCCCCCCCCCCCCCCCCCCCCCCCTCTCCTCCCTTCTCTTGTCTCTTAGTAAACCCAAATGTTTACTACACATTTATGACACAGTAATATCCTACTAGGGTGTTTGTATAGTACAAGCCACAGTCAATTGCACAATATACTGCATATGATAAACTGTGCAACAGTATTTGTGTTAATAATGCATTAACACTAGAAAAGCCTGGCCTCGAGGGATTCCCCCTTTGAGCCAATGACGAGTCTTTTGGACGTCAACATTCTAACAGTCTAATAAATTAATTTCATATATGCTATCGCAAAAATAATAATTTGATTGTGTTAATGAAGGTCTTATGAAACATTAGAATATGAAAGAAAATGTATTTCAAATAACACAATAGCATTTTCATTAGTTAATGTAACTGTAGGATATATGTATGGATGAATAACCACTAAAACACCACATTTAAAGTGTTAAAATCCATTAAATAAACACCATCACCAAGATCATTCATTATAAATTCGTTAAGGGCAGGTCTTAAGCAACATTATGAAACTAAGAAAATGCATTTCAAAAGAACAGAAAATGGCATATCTTGAGTTTAAATATATTAGTGTGCTTTGAGTTCACCTGGGGAGCACATGGAATGTGGTAATTCTACCAAAGAGTTATATTTTGAAATAGAGCTCAAGGAATCATTTTTAAGAGTTGTTTGGCAAGGATAGGTGATTTGGAAACTGCAGAATCTGCTCTCTCTGAAACTATATAGACATCAACATGTCTTACCGGCTTGTTAGTCACTTTTTGGGTTCTGTTTCCCTACCTCTGTGTCAATTCCAAGCTGCGCTGTTCATCAGATTCTTCATATACAATTTAACAATTGATAATATTCTCACCCATCAGACTGTTGTCAATGTAACGTTGTCTTTAGGCTAACTCTATTATTATGTGTGACATTAGTTTGGATGGGCCATCATCGGCTGCGCAGGCTGACTGCCAGTGAACGAGGAGCAGGGAAACAAAGGTGTTGTTAGTAGTTGTATTCAAGCTAATGTGTGTGTGTGTGTGTGTGTGTGTGTGTGTGTTTGTTTGAGAGTCTATAGTCGGTGTGTGTGTGTACGTGTGTATGACCTGTGTGGAGAGGTGTCAGGGTACGAGTGTGTGCAGTGTAAGCAGGTGGAAGGACTAGGCCTCTACGCTGCTGTAAGAGATCTACAGTTTCTATCTGATCCTCTGTAAATCCGGCTAATCCCACTACACACATATCCTTGTACGCCACCCCTGATCCCAAGATGCTATCATCGATCTCTCAGCTCCTCTCCTCCAGGGCCCTTACAGCTCGCTTGAGAGTGTGTTTGTTTATGTGTGTGTGTGTGTTTACCTGTGTGTGTGTGTGTGTGTGTGTGTGTGTGTGTGTGTGTGTGTGAGTTTTACCTGTGTGTGTGTGTGTGTGTGTGTTTGTGTGTGTGTGTGTGTGTGTGTGTTTGGTGTGTGTGTGTGTGTGAAGAGGAGGAGGAGGAGATTGCAAGGGAGGACAGGCGGAAGTCCCACTTTTCAACCCGTCGACTCCCAGACAAACAGGTGTGTGTGTGTGTGAGTACGTGCGTGAATGCCTGTGCTTGCTGTGACCCTATTCAAAAGAATTGGATGTTTTACACATCAACAATTGCAAAATGAACCGTCCTATTTGATTCTTCTTCTCTCTGTTGCTGTGTTGATTAGTGAGAGAGAGAGAAGAGAGAGAGGAGAGAGAGAGAGAGAGAGAGAGAGAGAGAGAGAGAGAGAGAGATAACGTCTATCTAGACATCCCGCCTCCTCCTCGGTTAGTGTTTGAGGAGCTGATTAGTAGCTAGTTCACATGTTTGTCCACGGGATAAAACAAGTGAAGCTGATGTTGTTCACGAACAGAAGTGGAACTTGAGGCTGGGCGATGAGCCCTAGCTGTCACTAAAATGGCTACTATGCATTAGCAAACAGAAAGAGCAGGCTAGCTCCTGCTCTCGCCCAGTCACTTGGAAGAGACGTGCAGATCTGTAGTAAGGTGACTACATCGTGAAAATGAAGGTAAATCTGTAGTAAGGTGACTACGATCGTGGAAGATGACGGTGAATCTATATTTAAGGTGACTAACTCTTGAAATGAAGGGTGAATCTATAGTAGGTGACTACGTCGTGAAGATGAAGTCAATCTGTGGTAAGGTTGGACCTACATCGTGAAAATGAAGGGTGAGATCTGTATAAGGTGACTACGGCGTGAACTATGAAGGTAAATCTGTAGTAAGGTGACTACATCGTGAAAATGAAGGTGGTTCTGGTAGTAAGGTGACTGACCGTCGTGAAGAATGAAGGTAAATCCTGTGGTAAGGTGAACTACATCGTGAAAATGAAGGTGAATCTATAGAAAAGGTGACTACATCGTGAAAATGAAGGTGAATCTATAGTAAGGTTACTACAACATCGTTAAAATGAAGGGACTCTATAGTAAGGTGACTACTCGTTGAAGCTGAAGGTAAATCTGTAGTAAGGTGACTACATCGTTGAAGATGAAGGTGAATCTATAGTAAAGGTGACTACATCGTGAAAATGAAGGTGAATCTATAGTAAGGTGACTACATCATGAAGATGAAGATGAATCTATAGTAAGGTGACTACATCGTGAAGATGAAGGTGAATCTATAGTAAGGTGACTACGTCGTGAAGATGAAGGTAAATCTGTAGTAAGGTGACTACATCGTGAAAATGAAGGTAAATCTGTAGTAAGGTGACTACATCGTGAAGATGAAGGTAAATCTGTAGTAAGGTGACTACATCGTGAAGATGAAGGTGAATCTATAGTAAGGTGACTACATCGTGAAGTTGAAGGTAAATCTATAGTAAGGTGACTACATCGTGAAGTTGAAGGTAAATCTATAGTAAGGTGACTACATCGTGAAGATGAAGGTGAATCTATAGTAAGGTGACTACATCGTGAAAATGAAGGTGAATCTATAGTAAGGTGACTACATCGTGAAGATGAAGGTGAATCTATAGTAAGGTGACTACATCGTGAAAATGAAGGTGAATCTATAGTAAGGTGACTACGTCGTGAAGATGAAGGTGAATCTGTAGTAAGGTGACTACGTCGTGAAGATTAAGGTGAATCTGTAGTAAGCTGACTACGTCGTGAAGATGAAGGTGAATCTGTAGTAAGCTGACTACGTCGTGAAGATGAAGGTGAAGCTATAGTAAGCTGACTACGTCGTGAAGATGAAGGTGAATCTATAGTAAGCTGACTACGTCGTGAAAATGAAGGTGAATCTATAGTAAGGTGACTACGTCGTGAAAATGAAGGTTAATCTATAGTAAGCTGACTACGTCGTGAAAATGAAGGTTAATCTATAGTAAGGTGACTACATCGTGAAAATGAAGGTGAATCTATAGTAAGGTGACTACATCGTGAAAATGAAGGTTAATCTATAGTAAGGTGACTACATCGTGAAAATGAAGGTGAATCTATAGTAAGGTGACTACGTCGTGAAAATGAAGGTTAATCTATAGTAAGCTGACTACGTCGTGAAAATGAAGGTGAATCTATAGTAAGGTGACTACATCGTGAAAATGAAGGTTAATCTATAGTAAGCTGACTACGTCATGAAAATGAAGGTGAATCTATAGTAAGGTGACTACGTCGTGAAGATGAAGGTGAATCTATAGTAAGGTGACTACATCGTGAAGATGAAGGTGAATCTGTAGTAAGGTGAGTACGTCGTGAAGATGAAGGTGAATCTGTAGTAAGCTGACTACGTCGTGAAGATGAAGGTGAATCTATAGTAAGGTGACTACGTCGTGAAGCTGAAGGTGAATCTATAGTAAGGTGACTACATTGTGAAGATGAAGGTGAATCTATAGTAAGGTGACTACGTCGTGAAGATGAAGGTGAATCTATAGTAAGGTGACTACGTCGTGAAGATGAAGGTGAATCTATAGTAAGGTGACTACATCGTGAAAATATAGGTGAATCTATAGTAAGGTGACTACATCGTGAAAATGAAGGTGAATCTATAGTAAGGTGACTACATCGTGAAGATGAAGGTGAATCTATAGTAAGGTGACTACATCGTGAAGATGAAGGTGAATCTATAGTAAGGTGACTACATCGTGAAGATGAAGGTGAATCTATAGTAAGGTGACTACATCGTGAAGATTAAGGTGAATCTATAGTAAGGTGACTACATCGTGAAGCTGAAGGTAAATCTGTAGTAAGGTGACTACATCGTGAAAATGAAAGTAAATCTATAGTAAGGTGACTACATCGTGAAGATGAAGGTGAATCTATAGTAAGGTGACTACGTCGTGAAGATGAAGGTGAATCTATAGTAAGGTGACTACGTCGTGAAGATGAAGGTGAGTTCTATAGTAAGGTGACTACGTCGTGAAGATGAAGGTGAATCTATAGTAAGGTGACTACGTCGTGAAGATGAAGGTGAATCTATAGTAAGGTGACTACGTCGTGAAGATGAAGGTGAATATGTAGTAAGGTGACTTCGTCGTGAAGATGAAGGTGAATCTATAGTAAGGTGACTACGTCGTGATATTCAACGTTTGGAAAGTAGATCACAAGCATGTTGGTAGGTGGAGTGGTAAATGGGCGTAATCCACTGGTTTGCAAAACAAAAGCTTCCCAATTTGCTCCCCCCTTGGGGAGACTTAAAGTTTCGATTTTTCTTTTACTTCAGGTAAGACTGCACGTGTGTGTACCTGCAGACAACACGTATGTGTACCTGCAGACAACACGTATGTGTACCTGCAGACAACACGTATGTGTACCTGCAGACAGCACGTATGTGTACCTGCAGACAGCATGTATGTGTACCCGCAGACAACACGTATGTGTACCTGCAGACAGCGGGCAAGAGTTGATGTGCATAAAGAAAACACATGGAATCTGTTACTATTATCATACAGTTCCTTGCGAAAGTATTCATCCCCCTCAGCGTTTTTACTATTTTGTTGCACTTCAACCTGTAATTTAAATTGATTTTTATTTGGATTTCATGTCATGGACTTGTTTCAGAAAATTCTACAAAATAAATAACGGAAAAATGGTGCGTGCGTATGTATTCACCCCCTTTGCTATGAAGCCCCTAAATAAGATCTGGTGCAACCAATTACCTTCAGAAGTCACATAATGAGTTAAATCTCATGAGCAATCTAATTGTCACATGATCTGTCACACGATCTCAGTATATATACACCTGTTCTGAAAGGCCCCAGAGTCTGCAACACCACTAAGCAAGGGGCACCACCAAGCAAGCGGCACCATGAAGACCAAGGAGCTCTCCAAACAGGTCAGGGACAAAGTTGTGGAGAAGCACAGATCAGGGTTGGGTTATAAAAAAATATCCAAAACTTTGAACATCCCATGGAGCACCATTAAATCCATTATTAAAAAATTGAAAGAATATGGCACCACAACAAACCTGCCAAGAGAGGGCCGCCCACCAAAACTCACAGACCAGGTAAGGAGGGCATTAATCAGAGAGGCAACAAACAGACCAAAGATAACCCTGAAGGAGCTGCAAAGCTCCACAGTGGAGATGGGAGTATCTGTCCATAGGACCACTTTAAGCCGTACACTCCACAGAGCTGGGCTTTATGGAAGAGTGGCCAGAAAAAAGCCATTGCTTAAAGAAAAAAATAAGCAAACACGTTCTGTGTTCGCCAAAAGGCATGTGGGAGACTCACCAAACATATGGAAGAATGTACTCTGGTCAGATGAATTGAGCTTTTGGCCATCAACTAAAACGCTATGTCTGGCGCAAACCCAACACCTCTCATCACCCCGAGAACACCATCGGCAGGGACTGGGAAACTGGTCAGAATTGAAGGAATGATGGATGGTGCTAAATACAGGGAAATTCTTGAGAGAAACCTGTTTCAGTCTTCCAGAGATTTGAGACTGGGACGGAGGTTCACCTTCCAGCAGGACAATGACCCTAAGCATACTGCTAAAGCAACACTCGAGTGGTTTAAGGGGAAACATTTAAATGTCTTAGAATGTCCTAGTCAAAGCCCAGACCTCTATCCAATTGAGAATCTGTGCTATGACTTAAATATTGCTGTACACCAGCAGAACCCATCCAACTTGAAGGAGCTGGAGCAGTTTTGCCTTGAAGAATGGGCAAAAATCCCAGTGGCTAGATGTGCCAAGCTTATAGAGACATACCCCAAGAGACTTGCAGCTGTAATTGCTGCAAAAGGTGGCTCTACAAAGTATTGATCTTGGGTGGGTGAATAGTTATGCACGCTCAAGTTTTCTGTTTTTTTTGTCTTATTTCTTGTTTGTTCACAATAAAAAATATTTTGCATCTTCAAAGTGCTAGGCATGTTGTGTAAATCAAATGATACAAACCACCCCCAAAAAATCCATTTTAATTCCAGGTTGTAAGGCAACAAAATAGAAAAAGTGCCAAGGGGGGTGAATACTTTCGCAAGCCACTGTATACTGTTACTAGTCCATACCTAGCCTGCGTATAGTGAATGTTAGTGAACTATCTTTGACCCGGGCCCATAGGGCTCTCTGGTCAATAGTAGCACACTTTATAGGGAATAGGGTGCAATTTGGGAGGCAGCCTAGCCTTCTCTCTCACCCCTTTTCTTATACTCCTTAGTATTACATAGAGACACAGGAGACAGGAGTCTCAGGTGACACAGGACACAGGACATACAGAACACACAGGAGACAGGACACAAAGGAGACACAGGAGACAGGACACAGGACACACAGGAGACACAGGACACAGGACACACAGGACACACAGGAGACACAGGAGACAGGACACACAGGAGACACAGGAGACAGGACACACAGGAGACACAGGAGACACAGGAGACACAGGAGACACAAAAAAGACCCAGAAGACACAGAAGACACAGGAGACAGGAGACAGGAGACACAGGAGACACAGGAGACAGGAGAGACAGGAGGACAACAACAATGGGGGAAAACAAATCAAGTAAAAAGGGCCGCTTCGTTTCCACAAGAATCACTGCAATTCTTTCACCTCCAATTATCTGCCAATGAACGGTAGCCATTATTTTGTTGCCATCAAAGCATGTCTCCTCTCCAGAGAGACGGATGAAAGCTGTACTTAGTGATTTTCCCATGGTAAACATATTCAAAGCTTGTGTACTAAAGACCGCAGCGATGTGAGCATTTCTTTGTCTTGTGCTCTTGTTTTCCTCATCCTGATCTAGCTTGACCAATTACTCATCCACTTTCCCCATATGGTCCCAGTAGGCTACATCTCTCTCTTTCACATGCTGTAGTGTATTTCTTAGTTTACTGCGACATGATGGTTTTTATATAAATATTTGCGCATAAAAGCGGTTCCACCGCAATTGTCGAATAATCTATTTCACCGACCCCCCCCAAAAAATATCACACCTTGTCTTGCTTAATTTGTTTTGTCGACGTTGGAAAATTTGACCGGCAAATGTGTTGTTTTCATAAGGCCTGTCGTGAGTTTTGTTTTTTTTGACACCTCAGGTAATTCATCCGCATGAAATTGTTGGACGGAAACCTCATTTTCCCTTCTATTCCCCTGTCTACTCATTTCAAGAGTTGGGTCAGAGTTAGTTTACTTACAATGCGCCGACATCAATTTCAAAATGGCCGATTATATTTTTATTTTCTGTCAGAGAAGAGATAAAGACATAAAGGTGAAGTCTTATTATTCTTACTCAGAATTGTTCCCTGTGTGTTTGTGCAGAAGTCTGCCTCTACCAGTTAACCAAGTGTCCCAAACGACACCTCATTCCCAAAAAGTGCAGTACTTTTTGACCAGGGCTTATTGAGACGTAGACCCAGGCTTGGCGACAAAGTCACACTTAAGAGTCAACTTAACCCCCAGCCATACTGAAATCAAGGTACAGTATGCCAAGTCGCTGATATTAAACCAAGGTAAGAAGCCTGAAAACTGCTCCAACGTCTTCTTATGAGTCAGGGATCATTCTAAGGCCATAGAGTTCAAGATGTTATTATCCTTTAACCTAACGTTTCTCCTAATGTCATAGCACAACCAATCCCTGTCTCCATCCGACAGCCCATCTAAACACTCAGCTTCAGACTTCTAACATGTTTCCAGTGAGGGTTCAGGACCTTAGAATGTAGTCAGTAGTACAGTCCAAGAGAGAGAGCACTGATGGATGGTTGATGGTTGTCATTGGGGACTGTCCTGACCCTGAGTTTTTCCTGGTCTGGTTTAGAGCTGTTATGGTGACCATATTACCGCCACACCGGCAGTCACAAGTCATGACCGCAGGTAATTAATTAGGCTTCTCCAAGCTCTGATGCTGCTGATGGTCATTGGTAGCCTACCAAACTTGCTAACTGTCTGGTACTCAGCTCTCTGTTGTCCCTCTAATCACTCTGACATCAATGCAAATAAAATCGAAAATCTAATCAAACACTTCATGAGAGCCCATGAGCTCATGTTGCGCATCATTTCCATAGGCTGTGCAATTGCGTGAGAAAACAGAGTGATGGCCTCTATTAAAAAGAGGAGGATCCCATCAGCTTTCTATAGGCTAGGCCTAATATATTTATTTCTCAACATTTCTAATATTATGCAAATTATTATCTTTACAACAGGAGTATAGCCTACCTGGCTGGCATGAAAATTAACACCAGGAAAAGCGTCCTCCATTCACAATTTAAGTGCATAGATGACATGTATTTTTTCCCGCTGCCCCTGTTTCGAGACAGATGCATGATAATGGTCCATTCTAAATCAAAACAAATTTCACACATATGTTATTTAGTATATGTAAAGACAAGAATAAATCAAGAATAGTCTGATGGGTGACAATATTAGCCTATCACTTGTGAATGATACCCAGCTTTTTCAAATCATAGTCATACACCTGATGTAGCCTACTGCCATGTGCGCTTTGCTGCACTTATAATGTGAAGAAATAGCCTAATAGTTTATCATTTTAAGCTAAATGTTGTCATCTGTTGCGTCAGGCTCATTGCTTAAAACATTTTTTTTTGATGCTAGTGGTTGTATTAATTTGGGATCTATCGCATCCCACAACTGTCCCGGACTATGTTTGGAATATTTATTTCTTGCACAGAATAGAATAGGTCAACTTTTGTACTTTGGGGGATAGTAGATTGACATAGGCTAGTGCTTTTGCTGTTCGTTAGGCCTACTCATCTTGTTGGCTGACGAAAAGTAAATGTGGACAGTTCTTCCAATATCTTCAATATGTGCTGTCGGAATTGGACAAGGACACGCGCAGTTGCGTCCCCGATGGGTCTGTCTTCACTTGTAGCCTGTGAGAAAGACCAGATCACTTGATGGAGAGCCATGTGAGCGAGAGGTGCTTTGGCACGCAGCCGGGAGAAGGGAATTATAATGATTATATTCAGCCCAAGGGGACACTGGCCACAAAAGGCCTGGATTTTTTGAGGCGGCATTACGGCCACACAAAGGGGATGCCGCTAGGAAATTAGAGGCATTATCAAGTGCTTGTCAGATTGTGAATGAGTGACTGATGAAGTGTGTACAGCCTGCTCAGAAAACAAGCAGAGCTCATGCCTTTCATGCAACTGTTTTCAAATCATCATTAGAGTCACATCATGCAGCCTTAGAATGTATTAAAAATCAAAACATATAGCCCAACATTTGTATCACAACTAAAGTTACATAAATAATTCTAAATTAAGCATTTAGGACTACCTGTTTCTTTGTTAACTCAACACAGAATAGCCACATGTGTGCACTCCCTCAAATCGTTTGGAGAAAATAGCCTTTCAAATTTGAGCAAATCTTGTCTGCTAAATGAACTAGTGTAGCCCACAGCCATATGGCATAGCCAGATCAGGGCCTAACATAAGGACAAATCAGAGTATGCTATTCTGTTCTTTCGAAATAGACTAAATTTTCTTCATATCATGTTTCTTTAGACCTGTCTAAAATAAATAATGGATGTAGGCTATATTACATGGTTTTATTAGACTTAAAATGTAGATGTTCGAAAGGTCTGCATCAGTGGCTTGTAGGCTATGCGTGGACGCCAGGAGATGCTAAATGTGTTTATGTGAATTAATGGCCAATTACCGTGAGACCGGCAGTTATTTGCTTGACAATCACCAGGCGTACAACATTTCATGACCGCCACAGCCCTAGTGTGGTCACGTGGTAACTCCTGACCCCATGACCCCTGATGAGAATGAACCCCTCAGTGTTAAAAAGGCTGCCTGGTGACTGTCCCCTCTGCTGTGCTATTCTCGCCCATAAGCTCATTAGTACAACACTGACACATGGCTCTCCATCAGGCGTCACCTCGCCACCGCTCCACATTGTGCAGCGGTCCAAGTAGGTGAAAATGTCACCCGTCCCTGGCCCTCGTCCCATTCTCGGGTCGCGTGTCTTGGTGACCGTGTCGGTGGCGGCGGTCAGCTCAGCTCGTCTGTAGTTGTGCCAGCTCTGTCATCCGCGAGGCGAGGTGAGCCGTGTGGCATAGAGTCGAGCTGCCAGACCTGATTATTATTAGTACTGCCAGGATAATTAAGTCAGCGGGCCCTCTGAAAGAGCAGGTTTAGTGTCGACTTGACTTCTAGTCCCTATCGGCTTCTCTCTCTCTCTCTCTCTCTCTCTCTCTTTCTCTCTCTCCTCTCACTCCCTTGACATCCTTTCATTCTGTAATTGTCAGACTGACTGCTTTCCTCCCCCTCCCTCTTTCTGGGTTTTTCTCTCTCCCTCTTGCACTGACTGCCACTATCTCTCTCTCTCTCTCTCTCTCTCTCTCTCTCTCTCTCTCTCTCTCCTCTCTCTCTCTCTCTCTCTCTCTCTCTCTCTCTCTCTCTTTCTCGCTCTCCCTCTTGCACTGTCTGCCACTATCTCTCTCTCTCTTTCTCTCTCTTTCTCTCTCTCACTCTCTCTCTCTGCTCTTGTCTGTGGCGTGTAACCTGCTGCTTCCTATACCTCATGAATATTCATCAAAGGGCGTTATTTGCATTATTTGCCCCTGAAAACAGGAGAGTACACAAAGGTGACAGCTGTCAACCTCAGGGAGGAAAAATATTGGAAGTCTGTCTGTGTGTGTACGTGTGCCTGAGATGGAGAGAGGGAGAGAGGAAGAGAGGAAGAGAGGAAGAGAGGAGAGAGAGAGAGATAGAGAGAGAGAGAGAGATGAGAGAGAGATAGAGAGCGAGAGAGAGAGAGAGATAGAGGAGAGAGACGCGAGATCCTCTCTGCTCTAGATATCTCGAGACGAGAGAGCGAGCTCGCGAGCGATCAGAGAGAGAAAGCAGTTTTGTTTATTTAGAATGATTGACATGATTACTGAACTGTAGTTAGTGTGTTTGTGTTTGGATGGCAAGAAGATTTTATGGAGTTGTTGTTGTGGTACTGTACTCTGTGTGAGTGTTGTTGAGGATTCGTGTGTGCTTGTGTGTGTGTGTGTTCAAGTGCATAGGTATGTGTTTGTGTGTGTCTGGCTGGCTTTGTGTCTGTGTCTGTGATTGTTAGTGAGGGTTATTTGATATGTAAATGTAAGGAAGGTATTATGCGTGTTTATTGTCGCTGCCACTCCATTGGAATCGCTCCTTATTTAGAAAGACAGGCATACAGACTGCAATGGAATGTAATGCAACCAATGTGCACCTCATTTAAATGCTTTGCTTTCACAGCCTTCCACTTTTCTTGACCTGGCATCGTTAACTACAGAGTTTGTAGCCTTGGTTCCTAATAAACATTGTTTACCTTAGCCTCTCCTTGTGTGAACAGTCAGTTGGCTCTCTTTCCTCTCAGGTACGTGGCCACAGATGTTGGCAGCCATTGTGTAGAGAAGGCTTCAGACTGTGGCTCCTGTGTGTCTATTGTCCCTGCCTCCCAGCCTCCCAGCCACCCAGCCACCCAGCCTCCCAGCCTCCCAGCCTCCCAGCCTCCCAGCCTCCCAGCCACCCAGCCTCCCAGCCACCCAGCCTCCCAGCCTCCCAGCCTCCCAGCCTCCCAGCCACCCAGCCACCCAGCCTCCCAGCCTCCCAGCCTCCCAGCCTCCCAGCCACCCAGCCTCCCAGCCACCCAGCCTCCCAGACTCCCAGCCTCCCAGCCACCCAGCACCCCCCCCTGCCTCCCAGCCGCCACCCACCCCGCCTTCCAGCCACCCTGCCTCCCCGCCACCCCTGCCTCCCTTGCCACCCCTTGCCCTCCCAGCCACCCCAGCCTCCCAGCCTCCCCGCCACCCTGCATCCCAGCCTCCCCGCCACCCTGCATCCCAGCCTCCTAGCCTCCCAGCCTCCCAGCCTCCCAGCCACCCTGCCTCCCTGCCACCCTGCCTCCCAGCCACCCAGCCACCCAGCCTCCCAGCCACCCAGCAACCCTGCCTCCCAGCCACCCTGCCTCCCAGCCTCCCATCCTCCCCGCCACCCCGCCTTCCAGCCACCCTGCCTCCCAGCCACCCTGCCTTCCCGCCACCCTGCCTTCCAGCCTCCCAGCCTCCCTGCCACTCAGCCTCCCTGCCACCCAGCCTCCCTGCCTCCCTGCCTCCCTGCCTCCCTCCGTCCCTGTCACCCTCCCTCCCTGCCAGCTTGTTTACCATCGCGACACAAAGCACTTCAAATCATATCCTCTTTTCCTATAAATACACACAAGGCACTTGTGCTAGCTAGTTTGCAGTTGGAGCGTGATTAGCCATTAGCGTCAGAATGGAGCTAGCTAGCGGTTGGAGTGTGATTAACCATTAGCGTCAGAATGGAGCTTGCTAGCTAGCGGTTGGAGCGTGATTAGCCATTAGCGTCAGAATGGAGCTAGCTAACGGTTGGAGTGTGGTTAGCCATTAGTGTCAGAATGGAGCTAGCTAGCTTAATTGGAACACGTGGTCGCTTTATGTTCAGACCTTGCTTGCATCTCAAATGGCACCCTATTCCCTGTGTAGTGCACTACTGTTAACCAGTAGTGTTTTCAAACATATATATATTTTTTTATAGCTACTCCTATTGTCTGGTGTTGTCTTTGTGCGAACGTTGCCTTAGTGCTTGTAATGGATGTGTCCAATTTATGGGAATTCCAGTAGTCCAGTATGAGGGGTAGTGTATCTTCATGTTTTTTCAAAAACAGGTTAACCCCTTGAAATGGGGTTTCATTAACCTGTTATTTTATATGAAACAGAGTGTTCTCTGACTATTTACATCACTGGTAACATTTAAACCTTCTTAGGAATTTTTCAATTTGTAGAAAATTACTTCATTATGCTTGTTGCTTTGAGGTTAATTATCACGTTCACTTAAAAAATAACATTGAATTACCTAGGTGTGAATATAGAGGAGTTAGAATGAATCTGAAGCTGATTAGGATCAAACCTTACAGTACAGTAATAACAGGGGTGAATGACAGTGAATCATTTAAAAACTGACCTCCATATTTGGCTGGAACAATGGAGGCCTGTGCAGTGGAGAACTTTTGCAACCCGCTATTTGAAAAAAGCTATTTTCTATTTATTTATTTATCCTTTTTTTAACCGGAGAAGTCACATTGAGATTGACATCTCTTTTTCAAGTGAGCCCTGGCCAAGAGAGCAGCATACTTAAAGTTACATGTAAGAAACAACTAGGGTGGTTGCGGTGACCGTATTTACCGCCACACCGGCAGTCATGAGTCATGACCGCAGTCAAATTCCACGTGACCGTTGAGTCACGGTAATCTCCTTTTATGCACATGCGTTGGTGGTACCCAACTTGCTAACGACCATCAGGTCCTAACCGCCTGGTACTCAGGGCTCCGTTGTCCCTCGGACCACTCTGACATCCATACAAATGCAATCGGAAAATCACATCAAACACTTATCATCAAAAACAGTATCATGCTTTTAAAACTCATCGTTTGACATCACTGTTCAATGTTCAACAACAGGTTGTAACTGATTGGAAAACATGGTCGTTGTAGATGTCGTTTCAAAGCCAAAGACAGCGAAGTAGACAGCGCTCTCTAAGGTGATGATTCATTCAAAGCATTTAAGACATTGCATGTAGAACACCCATACGCATATTAGAGCTAATGAATAATGGTTGTGTTATTATACAATACATATCCTAATAGCCTACCATATTACGCACGGCAGAAAAACATTTAAAAAACACAAATTTAAGATGTCTTTGGTACATAATTGGTCTATGGCATGGCGCATAGCCAGATAACTGTCACGAATCGTCGTTAGATGAAGCGGACCAAGTCGCAGCGTGATAGGCGTACATACTTTATTTACCGTACTGCACACGAAACAAAACAACAAACCAAACGATACGTGAAGTCCTAGGTCAAAACACAAACCTTACGGATCAAGATCCCACAACGTAACATGCCAACAGGCTGCCTAAGTATGGTCCCCAATCAGAGACAACGAGCTACAGCTGTCTCTGATTGGGAACCACCCTGGCCAACATAGAAATACACGATCTAGAACAAAAAACCTAGAAAACAAAACAAGGAAAATCCACACCCTGGCTCAACATTTAAGAGTCCCCAGAGCCAGGGCGTGACAATAACATACAGTAGGCCGACTCATATTCGGTTCTTCTGATAAAAATAATAATTCATATCATAATGTTTCCTTTGGACCTGATTAAAATGAATAATGGATTTATTGTGATGGTGTATATTAAATGGATTTATTAGACTTTTTTAAAATGTAGATGTTCCAATTGATCGCATCAGTGGCTTGTATGTGTGGAGGCCTGGAGATGCACAACACAGCACAACGAATGAAAGTTAAACTTGTGCAAGGTACTCTGAACACGTATTTGGAAGAACGGAAGGACCCCGAACCCTGGCCCGCCTTGTTTCTCTGGTCAAACCCCTCTACAGCAGGGTTCATAAACTCAGTCCTGGGACCCCCCCCCCCCCCCCCCCCCCTTTTGTTTTGGGTTTTGACCTAACACTACACAGCAGATTAAAATAACCAACTCATCATCAAGCTTGGATTATTTGAATCAGCTGTGTAATGCTAGGGGTTAAAAACCAAAACGTGCACCCAGGGGGAGCCCCAGGACCGAGTTTGGGAGACCCTGCTCTACATCTGCAGGATAGATCAGGGCTGGGATGACAGAGGGACAGAGGAACAAAGCTCCTTGTAAACATCCCCACTCTCTTGTCTACTGCCAACTATGCTCTATTCTTATCACTGGGATTCAGTAGAGGGCAGAGCTCCTGTGTGTGTGTGTGTGTGTGTGTGTGTGTGTGTGTGTGTGTGTGTGTGTGTGTGTGTGTGTGTGTGTGTGTGTGTGTGTGTGTGTGTGTGTGTGTGTGTGTGTGTGTGTGTGTGTGTGTGTGTGTGTGTGTGTGTGTGTGTGTGTGTGAATGATCCAAGCCCGGTTTGATCCATTTCAGTTTTCCTCTTCTTCTAAAGGTGGTGTTGCTGTTTCATGTCCTCTCGTCAGATTCCACCCACATGCATTCAATACACAGGCAGAGATCAGGCAGCGATCCGACAGTTGCTTTTCTCCTCCTGCTTGAGACAATGGCACTTCTTAGAGAGAGAGAGAGAGAGAGAGAGAGAGAGAGAGAGAGAGAGAGAGAGAGAGAGAGAGAGAGAGAGAGAGAGAGAGAGAGAGAGAGAGAGAGAGAGAGAGAGAGAGAGAATCAGAATCAGCAGGGATGAGACGATATTTATGCTTCAAGTGAACCAAGTCACTGGGACCCTCTGCGCTACAGGGGCTGTGTTTACAATGACAATCGATTCTGTTAAGAGCACACGCACAGCTTTGGGTTGGGGGAGAAATCATAAATAAATAAATGCATGCCTCCCCTAATGCCCCCTGAGGAGCAACCATATTGAGGTTATGAGAGAGAGAGAGAGAATGGAAGAAAGATGCATGGAAAGCTAAAGAAAAAGAGATGGCATGTTTCAGTGTGGGAGATCCCCCATCTCTCTATGAGGGCTTGGCTGCTCTAGCCTTGCAGCTCTACATCAGCGAAATTATAGAGACATGGCCAGACTGCCTACGGCCCGTCTCGGCATGTCTCTGTGTGCAAACACAACCCCAGTCAAATGAGCCGCTCCATAGACATATACGGCTCCTTGGGAATGTCTTTCTAAACAGCTGGGCTTGCTGCGTAAGCTCCTCTGTCCTCCACCGCTATTCTAATTACTTCACCCCCCGAAGGGTTTGACTATGAGACCAGAGAATACACCTGGTCACCTGTCAGGCAGCGCACCAACAACAGTCCCCACACAGACACACGACTCCTTCCTCCTCGTGGAATCGTACACCAGGGCCAGTAGTCATAAAGCGTCTCAGTAAAGGAGTACTGATCTGGGATCAGTTTTGTCTTTTAGATCTTAATGAATAAGATTACATGGACAGGGGGGGACCTGATCCTAGATCCCCTGGAGCCCTCACCCCTGACCCCTGACCCCCTGACCCGTGACTTGGAAGTGTTTAAGTAATAATTTGTAAAGTGTTGTTGTTCTAGAAGGTTTTCAGAGAAGCCCCTATCTTTCCCATTTGTATAATAGATGTAATAAACCTTACAAAACTCTCAGGTTACTGTGAAACGACCTCTTGTCAGATAGAGTTTGTAGCATGTAAAACATTTCACTGGTCTTGTGTGTATGTCCTTTGTAATTAGTATCTACATATTCCACCATTCTAATCAGCTAATTACATAAGGCAGAGCTTAATTACTCGACCAAACACTCCAGCACTCCGCTCTAGATGGAAGCACACGTCTTGGCCCTGCAATCCAATACGGACCGATCCATTTCCCGAGGAAAGGCTCTATGTCTCAAATAGCACCCTAGATCACCCTAGTACCTATATAGTGCACTACTTTTGACCAGAGTCATATGGACCCTGGTCAAAAGTAGTGCACTACATAGGGAATAGGGTGGCATTTGGCAAGCAAACATTTGTTCAACCGCTTGTATATCAGATGAACGCTGGTTCGGATGCATGCTGTGGTCACAGTGATTGGGTTATGCATGCGGGCTCCTGTTACTCACTGAGCTCTTTGTTCTGTGTCAAGCTGAAGACTGTATCAATGTCTTCTTCTCTGACAAGGCATGTTGTTGTTAAATGGGGACGACGAAGGGCACACACACGTGCACAGGAACACACACACACACACACACACACACACACACTGAGCTCATCAGGTCCTCAGCGTAAGTAGTCTGTGCACCCTCCAAACATGCCAGTGTACCTCTCTGGGTTTGAGGACACACTGCAAACTGCCAGCCCTTCTCTGTAGTGTCCCAGTGTTTGACAATGTGTGACAATGACAATGTGTTCTTCATAAACACTAGACTAGCCGACGAGGGGACGGCTCTGAAGATAAGTGCCACTACAGCTGAGTAGCGTAGATGCATTTTGACAGCATACGATGGCACAACAGAAAAATGGGATCTGCTAATCTCACTAAGCTTTGCTTATAAACTCAGTCTCTTGGATGTTGTTTGGGTAAAGGTTTTCAGATGAAGAGTGAGGAGGACCTACTCACTCGCTTTCTGTCACACACACACACACACACGCACGCACGCTCCAATCACTCTGACGTCAATGCAAATGTAATCAAAAATCTAATCAAACACTTCATGAGAGCCCATGAGCTCATGTTGCGCAACATTTCTATAGGCTGTGCAATTGCGTGAGAAAACAGAGTGATGGCCTACAATATTTATTTCTCAACTTTCCTAATATTAAGCACATTGCTCATATTTACAACAGGAGTATAGCCTTCCTGGTTGTCATGAAAATGAACCATGGGAAACGTAAATGACGTATTTGTTTTGTATTTTGTCCCGCTGCCCCTGTTTCGAGTCATTATTATTTAGTATATGTAAAGACAAGATTAAATCAAGAATAGTGTGATGGTGAAAATATTAGCTTATCACTTGTGAATGATGCCCAGCAATGCCTTTTTTGTGTGACTTTTCTAATCATAGTCACACACCTCATGTAGCCTAGCCTATAGGCCTATATGTTTTGATAAGGTTTGTATCACAACTAAAGTGGCCAAATAACTTCTTAAAATTAATAATAATAATAATATGCCATTTAGCAGACACTTTTATCCAAAGCGACTTACAGTCATGTGTGCATAAATTTTTAGGTATGGGTGGTTCCGGGGATCGAACCCACTACCCTGGCGTTACAAGCGCCATGCTCTACCAATTGAGCTACAGAGGACCACATTAATCCGCTTTACAACAGGTTGTAGAGCCTAACTTGCATACATAAGCAGCGCTTGAGTTTCAAGTTTGGGGAAGATAATTTTCACCATAAAATGCACCTTTATAATAAAAGCATTACATGCATAATTGCATTTGCGTTCCCTTTTGATAATGGTGTTTTCCCGCTAATGGAACATTAGCCTACTACCATATGCACATTGCTGCACTTATAATGTGAAGAAATAGCCTAATAGTTTATCAACATTTTAAGCTAAACGTTCTGATCTGTTGTGTCGCCACATTGTGTAAAAAAGGTTTTTTGATGCTAGTGGTTGTATTAATTTGGGATCTATCGCATCCCACAACTGTCCCAGACTATTTATTTCTCGCACAGAATAGAATAGGTCAACTTTTGTACTATGGGGGATAGTAGATTGACATAGGCTAGTGCTTTTGCTGTTCGTTAGGCCTACTCATCTTGTTGGCTGACGAAAAGTAAATGTGGACAGTTCTTCCAATATCTTCAATATGCACCTCGGAATTGGACAAGGACACGCGCAGTTGCGTCCCCGATGGGTCTGTCTTCACTTGTAGCCTCTGAGAAAAAACCTGATCACTTGACGGAGAGCCATGTGAATGAGAGGTGCTTCGGAGCACGCAGTACTCAGGGAGAAGGACACAACGGCCACTGGCCGCAAAAGGCATGGATTTCTTTAGGGTGCATTATGGCCACACAAAGGGGATGCCGGCGTGTAATTCTTGGCATTATCAAGTCCTTGTCAAATTGTGATTGAGTGCCTGTGCAAAAAAAACAAAGCAGAGATCATTCCTTTCAAGATAATTTTTTCAAATCATCATTAGAGTCGCATCATGCAGCCTTACAATGTATTGTAGAACAACTAAAGTTACATTAGTAACTCTAAATTAAGCATATAGGAATACCTATTTCTTTGTTAACTGCTCAACACAGAATAGCCGCATGCGCGCACTCCCTGAAATCATTTGGAGAAAATATCCTTTCTATTTTATTCAGCTTTGTTCAAATTGTATTCTTCATACTATAAAAATAATGCCAGGGAATCCTAAGCAAATCTTGTCTGCTAAATGAACTAGTGTAGCCCACAGCCATTTGGCATAGCCAGATCAGGACCTAACATAAGGACAACTCAGAGTATGCTATTTTCCCCTTTCTGTCTCTCTGTCTACTTCCCTTTCCCCTTTCTGTCTCTCTGTCTACTTCCCTTTCCCCTTTCTGTCTCTCTGTCTACTTCCCTTTCCCCTTTCTGTCTCTCTGTCTAATTCCTTTCACCTTTCTGTCTTCTCTGTTACTTCCCTTTTCCACTTTCTGTCTCTCGGTCTATACTGCCTTTCCCTTCTGCTCTCTCTGTTAATTCATTTCCCCTTTTCTGTTCTCTCTGTCTAATTCCCGTTCCTTTCTGGTCTCTCTATTTTCCCTTTCCCTTTCTGTCTCTCTGTCTACTTCCCTTTCCCTTTCTGTCTCTCTGTCTACTTCCCTTTCCCCTTTCTGTCTCTCTGTCTACCTCCCTTTCCACTTTCTGTAATTCCCCCACTGTTTGTTCATTTTGCTCATTTTCCTTTTGTTCTCTATAGGTAATAAAACCACATCAGCAGATAGCTTCGGGAGGGGGGTCGAGGGTTGACGGGGAACGGGAGAAGAGAGGGAGAGCGAGGGTAGCGGGGCCGAGAAGAGAAGGAGAAGGAGGGAGAAGAAGCAGAGAAGGGAGCACAGCTCGTCAATGGGGACCTCGACAAACTTCTCTAGCGGGAGCTCTACATCCTCTCTCCTCTCCCCCTCCTCTTCTCTCTCTCTCTTCTCCTCTCTCCTTCATCTCCATCCTCTCTTCATTTTCTCTCTCTCTCTCCTCTCTCTCTCTCTCTCTCTCTATTCAATTTCAATTTAAGGGCTTTATTGGCATGGGAAACGTATGTTAACATTGCCAAAGCAAGTGAAGTAGATAGTAAACAAAAGTGAAATAAACAATAAATATTAACAGTAAACATTACACTCAGAAGTTCCAAAATAATAAAGACATTTCAAATGTGATATTATGTATATATACAGTGTTGTAATGATGTGCAAATAGTTAAAGTACAAAAGGGAAAATAAATCAACATAAATATTGGTTGTATTTACAATAGTATTCGTTCTTCACTGGTTGCCCTTTTCTTGTGGCAACAGGTCACATATCTTGCTGCTGTGATGGTATTTCA